CTCTATGCAGCCCAGGCTGTCCTGGAACTCTCTGTGCAGCTCAGGTTAGCCTCAAACTCGCCATTCTCATGTCTCAGGCTCCCATGTGCTTGGGTTACAATCGTGTACCACCGTAGCCACCAATTTATATTTTGGTATAGTATGGATTGGGCCTGGTGACTAACTTTAACTGTGTTAGAATGAGAAGGAGGTGACATTGAGCCGTGTGATTTTGTTGTTGGTGGTGGCAATGAGCATCTTTCCTGAGGCCTGGTGCATGCTAGGCAAACTATATCCTTACCTCCGATACTGCACAAGGAGACAGCCACAGTGCAAAGCACATTCTCAAGGGAAGGACCGATAGTTTGTAGTTCAGAGTTTGGCATCACAGATCTTGAACTTGTCCTGTATCACCTGGAATATTATCTTTATATCTGGAGGGGTGGGGCTCAGTTTCCATTATTATAAGAATGATACTATTGAGTTTCTTTTAGTCTAAGATCTACTGCAGGTATCTGGGAGGAGGGGAGCCCAAATCAGCACTGCACAGGAGACTCTGACATATTACCAAGTTTGGCTGCCAGCCTTGCCTCCTCCTTGCCTCCTCTGCACAGCTTCTGTAAGCTGATCCTGAGGAAACACTCCCCAGAAGATTTTTGCCTCAGTGATGCTGGTTCCTTATTAACCACAGCTAATTTTTTTTTTTTTTTTGCTTCCACCTAGCCAGCATCCCAATTATAACCAATAAAGTAGTGTTTTTCAATCTTCTTGACGCTTTGACCCCTTAATAAAATTCCTTATGCTGGGGGGGGACCACCGACCATAAAATTATTTCTGTTGCTACTTCATAACTGTAATTTTGCTATGGCTATGAATTGTAATGGAAACATCATGTTTTCCTATGGTCTTAGGCAAACAGTATGAAAGGGTTTTGCTCATCTTCCAGAAGGGTCATGGCCCACAGGTTGAGAATCCCTGCAATAATAAAGCACCATTTAACCACAGTGGTGCTGGTCTCTTGTTAATCATAGCTGACTCTTCAGCCTCAGCTCAAAAGAAACCACAGATTCTTAATTAAAATATCTCATGTAAATAGTCCTACTAGAGTCTCTGTTTTCCTCTGAAACTTCACAAGCCAAGCCCCCATCATCTCCATTGCTCTCAACACTGTTTATCTTCTAAGGTCTCAAAGAACCACCCATTAAGCTTTTCACACTAATGACTTTTCCAGCCCAAAGTTCCATATACTTCCACAATCCTCAGCAAAACAACATGACCATGGATGCCACAGTAAGAGCCCACTCCCTGGAATTGATTTCTGTCTAGTTTGCTTTCTGTTCTGTGATAAAACACCATGACCAAAGAGCAACTTAGGGAGAAACGAATTTATGTGGTTTACAGGTTACAGCCCACATTATGAAGGGAAGCCAAGGCAGGGACCTGGAGGCAGGAACAGAAGCAGAAGGAAGAGAGAAACTTGGCTTACTGGGTTGCTTTCTACGGCTTGCCCGGCCTGCTTTCTCATACAACTCAGGACCACCTGCCTAAGGGTGGCACCACCCACAGTGGGCTGGGCACGCCATATCAATCATTACAGACTCACCCACTCACCCACAGAAGGAGACGACTCCCCAACTGACAATTGCTCTTCCCAGATGACTTTAGCTTGTGTCAAGTTGAAACCAACCCCAAACCAAACCAAAAAACTAATCAGCACACATTCCATTATCTCCTCTTGTTCCCCCCTCTCCCTCTCTTCCTCGCCCTTTTTACTTTCAGGTTCTACATACATCTGTTAGGTTTCAGGAAGTGCTTATATCTTGAGATGACAGTATTGACTCACTTCCAGCTGGATTGTAGAAGGTTTTCAGGTGGTTAGATAAAAGTCAGCATTCCCCGGGTACTTGTGAAATGGGTTCTCATCTCTCCACGAAAAGGAGTCATTTCCCTCACTTCTTCACTTCTGGCAAAAAAACAGGACATACAGCTTTCCTTTGACATACATGTGGTGGCTGTCAGCCCATCAAAGCCCATGCTAGCCTCCAGGCTCCTATAGTTTTTATTCACAAACACCCGTTATGCATGCCACAGTCCACATTAGCATCCAGGTCTCTCTCATCTGTCTCCACCCCAAACCACCCAAACCTGTTTCAGCTCACAGACTCCCCTCCTCCCAGAAACGGGCAAGATTTCCCCCCGCCTCCCCAACCCCCTCTCTGCCATTCTACTTTCTCTGAAGTTAGCCTTGTCCAGTCTGCTTCCCTTTCTTTCTGCTCTGGAGTCTTCCAGATGCCTCTGGAGACTTTTTCCAATCTTATCCACAAAAAAACCAAAACCAACCAACCAACCAACCAAACAAACAAACAAAAGCCAAACCTTTCCCCCTAAGCATAGAGTGGCCATTTAAGTGGTACCTTTACTGGGCCCTTTGTATACAATATGCAGGAACAGCCACGTGATCATATAACTTTAAATGTATGTTCTGCCTATGAGAGAAAACATTGTATTTGTCTTTGTGAATCTGGATTATTCCAGTTCTAGATCCCTGAGTAAGTATCTGTGGCATAGGATGTTGAGTCCTTTGGGCATAAACCAAGGATGTTATAGTTGTGCATATGGTAGATTTATTTTTAGCTTTTTTTGAGAATTCTCCACACTCATTTCCAGGGTGGCTTGCACAGGTTTTCCAGCCTCACCAACAGTGAACCGGAGTTCCCCTTTCTTCATATCCTACCCCTGCTTTTGTTATTGTTTCGTTGGTCTTAGCCACTCTAAAATCTCAAAGTTGTTTTGATTTGCATTTTCTTAACTTGCTAAGGATGAGGAACATTTTTCGAGACATTTCTTAGCCATTTTGATTTCTTCCTTTGAGAACTTCCTGTTCAGCTCCACGGTCTACTTTTTAATTGGGTTGCTTGTTTTCTTAACTCTTTGTTTTCTGCGTTCTTCATATGGTCTGGATATTAAGCCTCTGACAGATGTATGGCTGACAGATGGCAAAGATTCGCTCCTATTCAGTGGATTTCCTCTTGACTTGATGGTTTCCTTAGCTGTGCAGAAGCCTTTTAGTTTCTTGGAGTCCCACTTGTCAATTGTTGGCACCACCAATTTCTGGGCAAATGGAGTCCTAGTCAGAACATCCTCACCTACCCCCGTATCATGTAGGGTACTGCCTGTGTTTTCTTCTAACAGTCTCAGATCTCACATTGAGGTCTTTGATCCATTTGGAATCAGTTATTGCGTAAGGTGATGGGGACAGGTCTGATTTCATTTTTAATACAATGGTCTCAAGTTCTATCCATTTACCTGCAAATATCCTAATATCTATCCATCTAGACATTGAGGCTAGTTCCATTATCTTGGTTATGTTCAACGGTGCCTTCAAAAGCACGGGTATGCAAGCACCTCTGCGGTATGCTGATTTAGAATCCTTCATGTGTATAGGTGACTGTAGGATAGTTCTGATTTAGTATTTGAAGTGCCACCATACTGATTTCTGTGGTAACTTCATTAAGTTTACATTCTTACCTATGGTGTACAAAAGTTCCTGTCTCTCCATATCCTCAGTGGTATTTCTTGTGGTTGGTTTTCTTGATTGTCGTTCTGACTCTGGTGAAATATAATCTCAGTGTTGTTTTAATTTGCATTTCTTTGATAACTAAGGGTACTGAGCAGTTTTTTTTTTTCATTTTATTTCTTCCTTTGAGAACTGTCTATTCAATCCATTATCCCATTCATTACTAGACTTTTTTTTTTTTTTTTCCTTTTTGGTGTTTAACTTTTGGAGAATTTTTTTTTCCTCCTTTAATTAAAATTTGCATTTCTTTTTTAAAAAGTGTGTGTGTGTGTGTGTGTGTGTGTGTGTTGGGGCTGGAGAGATGGCTCAATGCTTAAGAACACTCGTTCTTTCAGAGGACCCAAGTTCAGTTCCTACCACCCATATCAAGCAGCTCACAACTTCAGGGGGTCTGACATTATCATCTGGCTACTGTGGATACTAGAACTCAGGCGGCATATATTTACACAGACAAACATGCTTAGCTTAAAAAGTGAACATTTCTGTGTGAGAATGGACATGAACTTGCCACAGCATGTGTGGAGGTCACAGCATAACTTTGAGAGTTGGTGCTTTCTTTCCAGTATGGAATCCAGGGTTGAGCTCACAGTCAGTCCTGGTGACAAGGGCCTTTTTCCTTTGAGCTAGTATGCTGACCCCAGATGTTTCTTTTTTCTTTTCTTTTCTTTTCTTTTCTTTTCTTTTCTTTTCTTTTCTT